TCCTGATCGCCAGCAAACGGTTCATACGCTGTGGGGGCACTGTTCAGGATTGCGAAGGGCAGCTGGATCCGAAGCTTCGCTACAACGCAAACAACGTGAGTGGGTGGCACCGGCTTCGCCATGATTTCCTCGCCTCCCTGGCTGCACAGGAGACGCTGCATTTCCCCACGGCTACGTAGCACAGCCTCTGCACCACAGAGCGCCCACGCTACAGGCAGAGCCCCCAGATGAAAGCAAGAACAGGAATGCAAAAACGCATCCTGAGAACAATTTCCAGCTAACAGTGACCAGACTCCTAGGAAAATTTTGGTAGTAAAATGTATTCATGTTTGTGTTGAGAGAAACCACACACCCACCCCTAAAAGCCAGTATCAACAACCAAAAAGTCAGTGGAAAACAGCACAGCATTACACAGCAAGATAGTGTGACCTGACTTGGTCTGGTAGGAGCAGCATGGAATGGTGTGCAGCAAACGATAACATTATTGCACTTCTGCTTAGGAAAACACTCCCAAAGGCCGAGGCAAACACAGAAATGCCTGTGCTTTCTATCCCAGCTCCTGCTCAATCCCAGGCCGCTCCCATGACAGACTCACTGACCTTACATAGTCTTTAAAAGACCCCCTTTTCCTTTTCTCTCCCACTCTACTCCCACACCCAACACAGATGAACCTAAGAACAATGATCAGAATGAAACTGCAGACTTATTGAGTGCTGACTGCATACACTATACCGAAGGATGGGGGAGAGCCGAGGCCTGGAGGTGAAGAGAAAGGCAAAATCCTCCCCCGAGCTCAGCTGTGAGAGCAGCCAGGCCAGGAAGGTCCAGGGAGGGAGTGGCCATCACAGGCCAGAGAGGGTGGCGGGGCTGAAGGGTGGGGCCAAGTTCCCATCCTTGTTACATTCTGGGCAGCAGCTCTGGCAGAATCTCTACCTGTTTGCTCAGCCTGTTGAATAAATAGAACTGTGATCATCTGTATGCATAGAGGTGAACTTTCCTTGACCCATCAACACCCTTCTGACTTAAACAAACAAACAACCTTTTTATTCAGAAAACACACAGGGTAAAACCGCACAAATCTTAAACCCACGAAACCACCACCCAGATCAAGCACCATCTAACCATGAAACAAACCAAACTGATACACTGCAGAGAAAGGCAGGGATAGAATTTCTAATTGCCTTGGATCTCTAATATGCCTTTCAAAAGTTGTTTTATTGTTGTTGAGTTTATTTTGATGGGGTCCACTCAAGCAGGATCTCGGAAGCATTCTCCTAGCAGGCACACTCATTCAGGATAGATGTTTCTACCTGTTTAGGGATCTTTCCGGGTCCCCAACATTTAAGAAATGTTGAAGAAAATATTCAGGCTTCCACCTACTGTTGCCATAAATTTGCATTCTTATGTTTAGGAACAGGGGGTGAAGCAGTTTAACTTTTATATGTAATCGGGACACTTTGTCTTGCATAACATACCACAAACTTAACTCCCTCCAACTTGTTATTCTTTGTGAGCCATTTCTTTTCCATGGTAGGACAACAGTGGTAACTGTTATTTTTAGGTCTTCAAGTTTTCCTTTTCCAACTTTGTCTTAGAATGTAAATGAACAGGATAAAAAGATAAAACTTGGTTTTCTTTTTCAGCAGTGATTTTCAACTGGTGTGCCAAGGCACACTGGTGTGCCGCAAGGATTTTTAAAATATGCAATACCTGACTACTTAGTCAGAGGCACTGGTTTCTTTTCCCTTAGATTGTCATTTAAAAGTGACAACAGTAACCAACATAACAGTAGCTATCTGGTGTGAATGAATCAAAATTATACCTATTTTTTGGGGGCAGATGGGCAAAAAATATAATTTTTGGTGTGCTACAGAATTTTAGTAATTAGTTTATGTGTGCCAAGCGATGAAAAAGATTGAAAATCATTGTTTTAAAGAAAAACAGGTCGATGGGGGCAGAGAGGGGATATATGTAATACTTTCAACAATAAAGATTAAAAAAAGAAAAGAAAAACAAAACAGCCCTGGCCGGTGTGGCTCAGTTGGTTAAGCATCCTCTCATGCACCAAAAGATCACTGGTTGGATTCCTGGTCAGGACACATGCCTGGGTTGAGGGTTCAATCCCCGGTAGGGAGCATGCAGGAGGCAGCCAAGTGATGTTTCTCACATTGATGTTTCTCTCTCTCTCTTCCCCTCCATTCTCCTCTCTTTAAAATCAATAAAAACATATTTTTTTTAAAAAAGAAAGAAAATAAAAACAAACAAAAACCCCCCGTTTGGAACATGATCCATGCAATGGAACTGAACAAACAGCTCTCTCCCAAAGCCACAGGTAATTTAAGATGCTAATGTTAACCATGTAATTATTTTCGTTGGTCAAGGATTAAGAAATGCTCAATTTTAAGCACTTCCTATCTTCTACTACACAACACAGAGAAATATTAGTTAGCATATTGATTCATGCAGTAGTCACAACTTTCTATCAGTTTCTGACACCTTTCAGGGTGTTTTAATAAATACCATGCTGACACTGCACGGTATGATGGTCAGGATATTAAGTGTAGCATCAGGAAGCAAACGCGCACCGTCTATAGCGAAATGTTACCGACCAAGGCAGGCTGCCGATGAAATCACAATGCAGGTTCTGCCAGTTATATTTCCTCAGCTTATATATTATTTTTCAAAGTCCGCCCCCCTTTTTAAAGTTAGAGGTATAAAACCAGGAAAATAGAGAACTAAGACCCCATTTTGCAATGGATCCCACAGACTGTGTTCTCCATTTCCCCACAGCACTTTCACCGTCACTACCATGCCTGGGTGACACACGATCACGCGATTTAAAAGGCCTATTCTCCTCTTTTAATGCAGTTATATTAGTTACTAATCACTCAGTAGCATAAGTGATCAAACTTCTGCCAATGTCCGATTACCTTTCCAATTGCACCTGAGTTTTTTTGGAGCATCAAGTTCAATGGCAATCCTGATTGAGGGCATTCAGAGGTGCTCTGCAGGTCACAGGAGAGCTGCACTCTATCTCCATTGTTGCCAGGACCCTGAGAAAGTCACTTCTTTATTCTATGCCTTGTTTTCTTTATTTGCAAAAAAAACCCCAACAGCGTTATCATTAAATGTCTACACCAAGCTCTCAAAGCACTAAAGAGAAGGTGTCACCTAATTACTAAGTTTTGTTGTTATGCCAAAATGTTGAAAACTCCAGGTTAGGTTCTGTAACCAGCGAAATCAAGGATTCTTGATGGCTACAACACCAGGCATTGATTACTTACGTTATTTGAACGTTTTGGCCTTAAACAGTAACTGAGTTTTAACATAAAAAGTAAACAACGGACAATCACAAAATGCTACATCTCCAGATTGAGACAAGTTGTTCCAACTTTAGAAAAAATGTGAACAGGGTTTTCATACTGTTTTTCTGTCCCTCCCACCAGGGAGAAAAGCCGGTACTGGGTGTGTGCTATTGACATCTTTGGGATAACGGGTATTTAGGGAAGTAGCAGTATCACAACCTATAGAAATGGATTTTATTCATAACCATCTTTTCTGGGGTGTGAAGAGTTAACACTAGCAAGGCTGGGACTTTGCTTTTTTACCCCCTTGAGATTCTGGCTGGATTTTTAAAAAACCATTAACCCTGTTCTCTTGGCAGAAAAGGGGACCTGGCTGTGAACTCTGCCAACAGAGCCGGCCCTGACCCTCCCCTGGGCCTGCCATTATGTAAGAAATGTAAATGCTCAGTTCATCCAAGTGGGACTTGCCCACAGAGCCTGGTTCAGCGCCAGCACCTTTTCACAAAGGGAATAACCCAGCAAGGCCTCAGGCAGCAGAGCCCAGGCCTGCTGTGGAGCTACAAACCAGTTCTCAGTAAGATTGATCCGATCCCCTCCTTGCCTTTTGAATATTTACCAAGATATGACAAACCTCTGAGGATTCCCCTAAAAATGCCCTTTACTGGCAGAGAGAACACCGCCTCCGGCCTTGGAGAAGCAGTCAAGTTAGCTGTCCACTCCGGGGTCGTGAAAGTTTGGAATTTAGTCAGCCTCTGTCAGTCACAGTCTGTGCCTACTTCCTTTGGAAAAGAGAATTGAAACTGGTTATAAGTTCCTTCTCCACTCCCATTTCAGCCTTCAGGGCTGAAACTCTGGAAAGAGCTCCAACGTGCTGCTCACTGTCCCGTCCCACAGACATACGATGGCACTTGATAAAAACTGATATGCAGGAGCCTCACTTGAAACATCTTCCTTCCCCCCCTCTTTCCAAATGTTCTGGCTTTTCTGCTTCCTTTTCTTCTCTGGCCGGGAGCAGACTAATCGTTATTTGTGGTAGCACTTTTCCACTCTTCAGAACCTGCCACTCTCGCCTCGCCTTTGGCCAGACTCTTTCCCCAGCACTGCCCCTCCGTGCCAACGTCTCCCTGAGCTTCTGCTCACTGAACCTCCTTTGAAGAGAGGCACTGACACCAGAGTGGGTTGTTTCAGGAATAAAGGGCTCACAGGGAAGTAACCACTAGAGGGTGACATAATTACACACAAGCGCATTCCTTTGGGACCAGGCAAGGCCAGAGTCAGCCAGGCATCCAGCTGTGGGCCTGGAGGCATAACATGAATTGGCAGCACAGGTACCCACAGCTCGCACCCTCACAAGATATTCTCCTACTTTCTCTTTCTCTGCACGCACGCATGCTCACAAATACTGACCTACTTTGGCTAGCAAATCAACCAGGGCCTTCCAGTGTTTCAAATGAAAGCCACAGCTCGCCATGACCCAGGACTGCTCATAGTACAGTGCATCTCCTTCACTGTTATTTGGGGGGAAAGGTTTTTATTGTTTGTTTGTTTTTGCGGTTTTTTAAGGGAATTTATCTTCCTCTTTTTTATTTTTTTCAATTACAACGGACATTCAGTATTGCTCCGGTGTGTAGCATAGTGGTTAGACATTTATATAACTTACAAAGTGATCCCCTGATAAGTCTAGTATCACTGACAACATGCATGGTTACTACAATAGTATTGACTGTATTCCCTATGTACTTTATATCCGTGACTGTTTTGTAACTGCCAGTTTGTATTTCTTAATCCTTTCACCATTTTCACGCAGCCCCCCAACCCCCTCCCATCTGGCAACCATCTGTTTGTTCTCTGTATCTATGACTTTGTTTCTGTTTTGTTTGTTCTTTTTTTTTGTTGTTTTCTAGATTCCACATATAAGTGAAACCATATGGTATTTGTCTTTCTCTGTCTTATTTATTTCACTTACCATAATACCCTCTAGGTCCACCCATGTTGTCACAAATGGTAAGATTGCATTCTTTTTTATGGCCGAGTAATATTCCATTGTATCTGTATACCACATCTTCTTGGTCCTATCATCTATTAGTGGACACGTAGGTTGTTTCCATATCTTAGCTGTTGTGAATGATGCTGCAATGAACACAGTTGGTGCATATATGTTTTTCAAATTAGTGTTTTGGTTTTCTTCAGATAAATACCCAGAAGTGGAATTGCTAGGTATATGGTAGTTTTATTTTTTAATTTTGGATGTCACTCCATACTGTTTTCCATAGTGGCAGCACCCATTTGTAATTCCACCAACAGTGTACGAGGGTTCCTTTTTCTCCACATCCTTGCCAATACTTGTTTGCTGATTTGCTGAAGATGGCCATCATGACAGGTATTAAGGTGATATCTCATTGTGGTTTTCATTTGCATTTCTCTGATGATTAGTGACCTTA